AGAACAGTCTCTGTTATAGATTACTTGTGGTGGATTAAATAGCTACTTTTTAAGGTATTGTATAGGATAAAGTATCATCTCTTTATATTACTTTAGGGTCACTTAAGTGCCAGTTGCCTTCTTCTGAAACTACACTAATCAAAATTTCTTTTCACTGCGTTTACAAATAAGCAATTATCTCTGCTATAGATTACTTGTGGTGAATGAAATAGCTACTCCCTTAGATACTGTGTAGTATAAAAGTATAAAGTATAGATTACTTATGAACACTTAAGTGACGCTTAACAATTTCTCCGTATTACTAGCACTTCTATCATTTGGGGAGTATACTTTTTAAAAGGGATACCATGTTAACTACTAAAACTGCAGGGGAAGAACCGAAAAAAAAGTAAACAATTTAACGCAACTGTTGTAATAAAATATAATTAAGCGATTTTAATGTATTTTAATTACGCATTAATGTTGTTTTTTTGCTCATTTTAGATGTCGGCTCAAACAACATCTCATTTCAAAAAGAAACGGTAGAGGAAAACACTTTTTTCTTGCAACAGAAGTTAAAGTTTTGCAAGATTTTTTAATAACAAAGAAAGTACAAAGTTGTAATTAGGCTAAAACTAGCAATACATAAAACAAAATTTTGAAATAACAAAATTTTCTGTTAAATCTTATGTTAAGTCTTTTAACATTATTTTAACTGTTAGTTAAAAAACTAACGTTATTTATTTTAAAAAAAAAGTACTAGTATTTGTCAATAAGGTCTATTTTCAATTTAACCCAAATAAATTAATCCACATAATGTTTAACACTACCTAAAGTTGTTTCATCATTTAAAGTCTTCATATATTGACCAACTGATAATATTAATATTTTGTAAGCATTCACTTCTACTACTACTTCTCACTCAGGTGTAAATTATTTTCAATTTATTTTCATAATTATTTAACATCATGCTCACGTTCGTTAAAGTTTTCCGTACAAAGCAAAATTAAAATTGATTTTCTTTATCATTCATTATTTTAAAATTCAAACTTTTAAATCTGCTTAAATGTTCATTTTATAATATGTAAATCGTACATCCTTAAAATTAGCAAAATTTTCCTATTATATTTGTCAAAATTAAAATTTAATTATTCATTCAAATAATTTTTATGTGAATTTTTTTTTGTACTTCATACATATTTATACCTCAATATTGCATTTAAACCACATTTTTTCATTAGCACTTTTTTTCAATTTGAAAATTATAAACTCACGCATATCTAAAATGTCAATAACGTATTTACAATAACTTGTCAGTTATTTAAAGTAATTAAATGATCATAAATTTTTTACATAATCAAGTTTATAGTCTGGACTAAAGTCTAGGCTCTAGTTAGGATAAAAGACTAGTCTGGATTAAAGACTATAGTCTTAACTGTGGACTAAACTATAGTCTAAATTATGGACTAGACTATGGTCGATATATAGACTTGACTATAGATTAGACTATAATCTGGTCCATAGTCCGAACTAAGATCTTGCTTAATGTATAGTCTATAGTCTAGTCTATTGTCTGAACTATAGATTAGATTATAGTCATTCCTATTCCTAGTCTAGTGATATAGAGTATAGTCTATAGTCTAGTCTATAGTCTAGTCTATAGTCTAGTCTATAGTCTAGTCTATAGTCTAGTCTATAGTCTAGTCTGTAGTCTACTCTATGGTCTAGTCTATAGTCTAAACTATAGTCTAGTCTATAGTATAGTCTAGCCTATAGTCTAGTCTATAGTCTAGTCTATAGTCTAAACTATAGTCTAGTCTATAGTCTAATCTATAGTCTTGTCTATAGTCTAGTCTATGGTCTAGTCTATAGTCTAAACTATAGTCTATAGTCTAAACTATAGTCTAGTCTATAGTCTAGTCTAGTCTATAGTCTAGTCTATAGTCTAGTCTATAGTCTAGTCTAGTCTATAGTCTAGTCTATAGTCTAGTCTATAGTCTAGTCTAGTCTAGTCTAGTCTAGTCTAGTCTATAGTCTAGTCTATAGTCTAGTCTATAGTCTAGTCTAGTCTATAGTCTAGTCTATAGTCTAGTCTATAGTCTAGTCTATAGTCTAGTCTATAGTCTAGTCTATAGTCTAGTCTATAGTCTAGTCTATAGTCTAGTCTATAGTCTAGTCTATAGTCTAGTCTATAGTCTAGTCTATAGTCTAGTCTATAGTCTAGTCTATAGTCTAGTCTATAGTCTAGTCTATAGTCTAGTCTATAGTCTAGTCTATAGTCTAGTCTATAGTCTAGTCTATAGTCTAGTCTATAGTCTAGTCTATAGTCTAGTCTATAGTCTAGTCTATAGTCTAGTCTATAGTCTAGTCTATAGTCTAGTCTATAGTCTAGTCTATAGTCTAGTCTATAGTCTAGTCTATAGTCTAGTCTATAGTCTAGTCTATAGTCTAGTCTATAGTCTAGTATAGTCTAGTCTATAGTCTAGTCTATAGTCTAGTCTATAGTCTAGTCTATAGTCTAGTCTATAGTCTAGTCTATAGTCTAGTCTATAGTCTAGTCTATAGTCTAGTCTATAGTCTAGTCTATAGTCTAGTCTATAGTCTAGTCTATAGTCTAGTCTATAGTCTAGTCTATAGTCTAGTCTATAGTCTAGTCTATAGTCTAGTCTATAGTCTAGTCTATAGTCTAGTCTATAGTCTAGTCTATAGTCTAGTCTATAGTCTAGTCTATAGTCTAGTCTATAGTCTAGTCTATAGTCTAGTCTATAGTCTAGTCTATAGTCTAGTCTATAGTCTAGTCTATAGTCTAGTCTATAGTCTAGTCTATAGTCTAGTCTATAGTCTAGTCTATAGTCTAGTCTATCGTCTAGTCTATAGTCTAGTCTATAGTCTAGTCTATAGTCTAGTCTATAGTCTAGTCTATAGTCTAGTCTATAGTCTAGTCTATAGTCTAGTCTATAGTCTAGTCTATAGTCTAGTCTATAGTCTAGTCTATAGTCTAGTCTATAGTCTAGTCTATAGTCTAGTCTAGTCTAGTCTAGTCTATAGTCTAGTCTATAGTCTAGTCTATAGTCTAGTCTATAGTCTAGTCTATAGTCTAGTCTATAGTCTAGTCTATAGTCTAGTCTATAGTCTAGTCTATAGTCTAGTCTATAGTCTAGTCTATAGTCTAGTCTATAGTCTAGTCTATAGTCTAGTCTATAGTCTAGTCTATAGTCTAGTCTATAGTCTAGTCTATAGTCTAGTCTATAGTCTAGTCTATAGTCTAGTCTATAGTCTAGTCTATAGTCTAGTCTATAGTCTAGTCTATAGTCTAGTCTATAGTCTAGTCTATAGTCTAGTCTATAGTCTAGTCTATAGTCTAGTCTATAGTCTAGTCTAGTCTATAGTCTAGTCTATAGTCTAGTCTAGTCTAGTCTAGTCTAGTCTAGTCTAGTCTATAGTCTAGTCTATAGTCTAGTCTATAGTCTAGTCTATAGTCTAGTCTATAGTCTAGTCTATAGTCTAGTCTATAGTCTAGTCTATAGTCTAGTCTATAGTCTAGTCTATAGTCTAGTCTATAGTCTAGTCTATAGTCTAGTCTATAGTCTAGCCTATAGTCTAGTCTGGATAAGAATCACTTCTAATTTTTTTATGAATTAATTCCTTTAAACATCACTACTCATCTCTAAACCAAACAGTCTACATTTGTTGAGTACACAACATTTATAATGCAATTTAAGTTGCGGTTTTAATTTTAATCAAATATTTAAAATGGTTTTAAAGGTTTTGCAATCCCTTCTATTCAAAAAACTTTAAGTTTTGTATACAATTATGAAATACTAATATTTTAAGTAATTTCTACTAAATTATATAGTATATTCTAATACTAAACAACTCAGAATTACCACATAAATTCCTAATATGTTCACTAAAATCTTGTTGAATAAAAATTTTAAAATTCTCTATTACTTAAAATGCTTAAACATAAAATTTAAACAAAATTTAGCGTTTATTTGAATTGACAAAAAAATTTTTCGCTCATGTTTTATTAACAACCACTAAAATTTGTACCGCTTGCCTGCGGACATAAATCAATTGTTTTGCAATTAAATTAAGTAGTTAAAACATTGGGAAGAAATGAAAGAAAAAAAACATATAGCAAAATAAGTAAAATTGTTCGACTATATGATACCCTACAGCTAGTTAATAGTGCAGATTATATACTAAACAATAGTCTAAAATCTGGACTGGATTGTAGTCTAGTCTATAGTGTAGTATATAGTCTAGTCTATATTCTAGTCTATAGTGTAGTCTTTAGTCTTGTCTATAGTATAATCTATAGTCTAGTCTATAGTATTGTCTATAGTCTAGTCTAAAGTTAAGTCTACAGTCTAGTCTGTAGTCAGGACTATAGTCAAGTCAATCTATAATCTAGTCTATAGATTGAGCAATAATCTAAATTATATCTTGGACTATATTCTTGTACGTATACAGTTTTGACTATAGTCTGTTATGTAATCTGGACTATAGTCTGATCTGTAGTTCGAACATTAGTTTAGTCTAGAGTCTAGTCCATAGTCTGTGGTGTAGGGTATAAAAACATACCATTATAATTATACTTCATACTAAATACTCCGGCAAAATATGTATAATTATAGTTTTAAACTGCCGGCAAACACACACAAACAAGTGTAATAAGATATACAAAAGAAATAAAAAAGTTTTAATGTTTTTTTAAAGGTAATATAATACAAAAACAAATGTCAGCAAATACATACTACACCTATTATATTAGGTATAATAAATGTCAAATAATTTTGTGAGATATTTAAATATTTCATACGTATACTATACGGGTATCAGACAGTAGTGCAAGAAATTAAGGCACACCCTATAAGTAAACAGTTTTTTTAAGCTAAGAAGGTAAATAAATTTTTAAGTACAGACACGAGTTAGTCAATATATTAGTTAAAAATATTTTATATCGTTTATTTATAATTTAATTAATTTATTTACTTTTTTTCTCTACTCTTTTTTAGTTTCCTGGACGATTTGGATCGGTTAGGTGCCAAAGATTATCAACCAACCGAACAGGATATTTTGCGCACTCGTGTCAAAACAACTGGTATTGTTGAAGTGCACTTTTCCTTTAAAAATCTTAATTTCAAGTAAGTTTTTTTTTATTGAAATTTTTTTTTGAGATTTATTAAATAATTTAAATTTAATTCTTTTTAAATTTTAGACTTTTTGATGTTGGTGGCCAACGTTCGGAACGAAAGAAATGGATTCATTGCTTTGAAGATGTAACTGCGATTATATTTTGTGTTGCCATGTCTGAATATGATCAAGTTTTGCATGAAGATGAAACTACAGTAAGTTTTTTGTTAATATAATTTAAAATATTCTAAAAATTTGTAAATTTTAATTGAAATCTATTATTTTGTTAATTTTAGAACCGAATGCAAGAATCTTTGAAATTGTTTGACTCCATTTGTAATAATAAATGGTTTACGGATACTTCGATTATTTTATTCTTAAATAAGAAAGATTTATTCGAAGAGAAAATACGCAAGAGTCCATTGACAATCTGTTTCCCAGAATATACAGGTAAGTAAAACTAATAAGCTTCCCGAAATTTCCATTTTATCTAAGGACATGTTTTTTAAATTGAAAATTTGTCTGAAACAAAGCAACTTTTTCTATAGAAAAGTTGTCTGAATCAGAGCAACTTTTTTTAGTGAAAAGTTGTCTGAATCAGAGCAACTTTTTTAAAAGAAAAGTTTTCTGAATCAGAGCAACTTTTACTAAAGAAAAGTTGTCTGAATCAGAGCAACTTTTTCAAAAGAAAAGTTGTCTGAATCAGAGCAACTTTTTCTAAAGAAAAGTTGTCTAAATCAGAGCAACTTTTTCTAAAGAAACGATGTGTGAGTCAGAATAACTTTTTCTAAAGAAAAGTTGTCTGAATCAGAGCAACTTTTTCTAAAGAAAAGTTGTCTGAATTAGAGCAACTTTTTTAAAAAAAAGTTGTCTGAATCTGAGCAACTTTTTCTAATGAAAAGTTGTATGAATCAGAGCAACTTTTTCTATAGAAAAGTTGTTTCAATAAGAGCAACTTTTTCTAAAGAAAAGTTGTCTGAATCAGAGCAACTTTTTCTAAAGAAAAGTTGTTTGAATCAGAGCAACTTTTTCTAAAGAAAAGTTGTCTGAATCAGAGCAACTTTTTCTAAAGAAAAGTTGTCTGAATCAGAGGAACTTTTGCTATAGAAAAGTTGTCTGAATCAGAGCAATTTTTTCTAAAGAAAATTTGTCTGAATCAGAGCAACATTTTTTATAGAAGAGTTGTCTGCATAAGAGCAATTTTTTGTATAGAAAAGTTGGCTGAATGAGAGCATCTATTTCTATAGAAAAGTTGTCTGTTCACAGAGCAACTTTTTCTATAGAAAAGTTGTCTGTTCCTAGAGCAACTTTTTCTATAGAAAAGTTGTTTGTTCATAGACCACTTCAAATGCTTTTCATTCCATTAACCCCCATTAAATAATTTTTACTCCCATACAGGTGGTCAGGAATATGGTGAGGCAGCTGCGTATATCCAAGCTCAATTTGAAGCGAAAAACAAATCAACCTCAAAAGAAATTTACTGCCACATGACGTGTGCTACAGATACAAACAACATACAATTTGTATTCGATGCTGTCACTGATGTCATCATTGCTAACAATCTCAGAGGTTGCGGTCTTTACTAAACACCCACACACACACTCAACATAAATGCATTCATTTCAACAAAAACAAAAACAACAACAAAATTAATTTCTATATATTTTATTGAAAATAGCAGCAGACCCAAAAAACAAAAAACTAAATTATTTTAAAAATTTATTAAGAGTAAAACAAAATAAAAAAAACAAATGGTAAACATCTAAAAAAAGAGAAAAAAACAAACAAAACCCACCATCTTCAAAAATATTAGCAAACAAATACAAAAACATAAAAATAAAAAAGAGAAATGAACCGTTTAAATATCACCTTTAATTAAAATAATGAAAATAGTAAGAAACAAAAAAAAAAAACTAAAGAAAATTTGAAACAAATTCTAAACATTTTTTATTTGTTTCATTAGAAAACACAAAACATAAATATTAACTATTATCATTCAGTCATTTTACTACACCCCCCTCCTCCCATAAATAATAGTAATTCTCTCTTTTAGACTTTTACTCTTTAGAACAGTTTTTTCAGTTCAATTAATTATATTGATGAATGATTTTTCTAATAATTTAGCATTTAATTAGTTGCAATTTCTTTTATTTTATAATTTAATGTATTATTAAATATAATTTACTACTACTACTATATATACATATATTTATATTTATAATTGTGTGTGTATGTGTGTGTGTGTATAACCAAAAGGACTTGTTTTATTGTCTTTAAACAAAAGAAAAAAAATCCTTATAACGTTAACTACTACAAAACGAAGAAGATGAAAAAAAAACGTAAACATTCTTAGTCAAACTCAAGCAACGTAAATATTTTATTATTATTTCTTTTTTTTAAAGATTAAGTTTTTCTTTTATTATTATTTTCTGGGAAAAGTAAGGAAATTAACTTATTACCAATTGTCCTTGTAGACTTTATTAGTCTCCGCTATAATAAAGGGAAACCATTTTGTTCGGAGAAAATCTCTGCCTATTGAGGCAAATTTTAAATGTTTATTAAAAATTTCTTTGAAAACTGATAGCAAGTTTTTAAAAATTCCTTTGGGCCATAAGTTTATATTGGTATTTTAAGGAAAGTAAGGAATTTATTGGATTTCTTTGAGTACAAAAAGGCACAAAGTTGTTCAGGATCTTATAGCTGAAGTATACACAAAAACTTCCTTCAAAAGTTGTCTAACAGAGCAAGTATTTCTATAGAATAGTTGTCTATAACAGAGCAACTCTTTCCAAAGAAAAGTTGTCTGAAACTGTGTATCTTTTTCTAGAGAAAAGTTGTCTAAAAAAGGGCAACTTTTTCTATAGAATAAATGTCTGAAATACGGCAACTTTTTCTAAAGAAAATTTGTCCGAAAAAGAAAAAGTTTTTCTAATGAAAAGTTTTCCGAAACAGAGCAACTTTTTCTAAACAAAAGCTGTCAGAAACAGAGCAACTTTTTCTAAAAAAAAGTTGTCTAAAACAGTTGTCTGAAACACAGCAACGTTTTCTAAAGAAAATTTGTCCGAAATAGAGCAATTTTTTCTAAAGAAAAGTTGTCTGAAAGAGAGCAACGTTTTCTAACGAAAAGTTGTCTGAAAGAGAGCAACGTTTTCTAACGAAAAGTTGTTCGAAACACAGCAAAGAAAAGTTGTCCCAAACAGAGCAACGTTTTCTAAAGAAAAGTTGTCCGAAACACAGCAACTTTTTGTAAAGAAAAGTTGTCTGAAACAGAGCATATTTTTCTAAAGAAAAGTTGTCTGAAACGGAGCAACGTTTTCTTAAGAAAAGTTGTGCAAAACTCAGCAACTTTTTCTGAGGAAAAGTTGTCTGAAACAGAGCATCTTTTTCTACAGAAGAGTTGTCCCAAACAAAGCAGCTTTTTCTAAACAAAAATTGTGTGAAACAAAGCAACTTTTCCTAAAGAAAAGTTTTCTGAAACAGAGCATATTTTTCTAAAGTTGTCCAAAACACAGCTACTTTTTCTTAAGAAAAGTTGTGCGAAACACAGCAAATTTTTCCAAAGAAAAGTTGTCCGAAACACCGCAACTTTTTCTAAAGAAAAGTTGTCTGAAACAGAGCAATGTTTTCTTAAGAAAAGTTGTCCGTAACACAGCAACTTTTTTTAAAGAAAAGCTGTCTGAAACAGAGCATCTTTTTCTAAAAAAAAGTTGTCCCAAACAGAGCAACTTTTTGTAAAGAAAATTTGTCCGACACAGAGCAACTTTTTCTATAGGAAATTTGTCCGAAATAGAGCAATGTTTTCTAAAGAGAAATTGTCTGAAACACCGGAACTTTCTCTAAAGAAAATTTGTCTGAAACATAGGAACTTTTTCTAAAAAAAGTTGTCTGAAACACAGCAACTTTTTCTAAAGAAAAGTTGTCTGAAACAGATCAACTTTTTCTAAAGAAAAGTTTTTTGAAGCAGATTAACATATAGAAGATGTCTGAGCAACTTTTTAAGTTATCTTACAAACCTAATGAAAGATTAAACTTTGAAGCTTTTAATAAGTTCCTTTTCTTCCTATTTTATAAGCTTGAAGGTAGCAACTCGAAAGAGGATTTTCTTATGGCCCTTGTTACAAATTTTATATTTAATTTCCTTAAACAAAATTTTCCTAAACTTACTACAAAATCTCCTTTAACTTGCCATATTTTTATATTAATTATATATGATTTTTTTATTTTTTATACAAAAAAAAAACGCTTAATTTTTTATGAAAATAACAAACGCACAAGTTTACATATTGTTTTAGAAAAAAAAGTGAAAATAAATTTAATTTATTTATAATTTTAATTGGCTCTAATAAAACTATAATAAATTTTATTATATAATTATACAGTATTTAAAGAAATTCTATAAAAATAAAAGAAAACTAATAAAAATTTTTAAAATTTTCAATGAAAAAACTTTCAAAAACAAACGTATTTAAAACAAAATTGTTGAAAATTTCTTTAAGCAAAACACTTAAAAGGAAATCTCTTTAAAAAACTTTAGATTGTTTAAAATTCTCTAAAATTTACTTAATTTCTGAAGAAAAATTTAAAGTTCAATAAATTAATAAGTTAAAAGAAATAGTAATATGAAAGTAAACTTATTTTTGAAACATTTTCTAATAACAAATTTTATACAATTTTCTTATTGAAAAACCACGAACAAATTATATTTAAGTACAATTAATTATTTTTGCTAAAAACGCTCAAATATTTTAATTGAAACTTTTTTTAATGTATTTATACAATTTAAACAAATATATATTTATATGTAATTTGTCTTTTTGTATGTAACTTGTATGTATTTAACTTTGTTTTTCTATTATTTCTCTCGAATTATATTTGTTTTTAGTAAAATGGCATTTAACAATAATAGTATTCATTTCATTTATTTAAATTAATTCTAAAGAAACTGCATTTAAGTGAAAGAAAGAGAGTTATTGAAGAAAATGGGTCTAAATGGAAGAGAAATTTAGGTCTATATCTAGAGCGTTCATATACTAATCCATAGACTAGTCAATAGTTGGTCTAGGGATTATACTAAGACTAGTCTTTTGACAAATCCTTGGACTAGTCTGTTGACTAGTCTATGAAATAGTCCGTTGACTAGTGTATGAAATAGACTGTTGAGTAGTCTAGGGACTAGTCTTTGAAATAGTCTGTTAACTAGTCTTTGAAATAGTATGTTAACTAGTCTATGAACAAGTCTGTTGACTCGTCTATGTACTGACTAGTCTATGGTGTATGGACTAGTCGGTTGACTAGTCTTTGGACTAGTCGGTTGACTAGTTTATAGACTAGTCTGTTGATTAGTCTATGGACTAGTCTGTTGACTAGTCTATGGACGAGTTTTTGAACTAGTCTATGGACTGGTCTGTTGACTAGTCTATGGACTAGTCTGTTGATTAGTCTATGGACTAGTCTGTTGACTATTCTATGGACTAGTCTGTTGACTAGTCTGCTGCCTAGTTTATGAACTAGTCTATTGACTAGTCTATAGACTAATCTATTGACTAGTCTATGAACTAGTCTATGGACTAGTCTGTTCACTATTCTATGGAACAGTCTGTTGACAAATTTATAAACTGGTCTTTTGACTAGTCTATGGACTAGTCTGTTGACCATTCTATGAAATAGCCTGTTGACTAGTGTATGTACAAAACTGTTGACTAGTCTATGTATTAATCTGATGATTAGTCTATGAAGTAGTCTTTTAACAAGTAGTCTGTTGCCTGGTCTATGGAATAATCTGTTAAAAAGTCTATGAAATTGTCTGTGGACTATATAGATATATATAGATCCTTTAGTCCTATTAATCTTCAATAACTTTTATCCTAATACATACATACAGCAGTTAAACATACATTTTTTTTATATAAATGAAGCTCTCTAGTTTTTCAACAAATGTTTTTTTATATTGAAAATATATTATACTTTAAATTATTATTATTATTTTGTATTATTTTTTTTATTATTTATAATTTTTAAGTTTAATTGTTAATGTAAAGCAAGAACATATAATTTATAATTTATACCTAAAATCCTAAACATAAAGTCCTATATACATATATATATATATATATATATATATATATATATATATATATATATATATATATATATATATATATATATATATATAAATAATGAAACTATTATTAATAATTTAAAACACTGAAACAAAAAATCAAGTATGTATGTATTTGTATTAAAAATCAACGTATTAAAACTTTTAGATTTATTTTCTACTGTTTTAAAGCATGATTTATTTAGATGTCTTTAAAAAAAATATTTAAACAAAACAAGTATTTATTATGTAAAACTTAAAATAACTAAAAACATACAAAAAACCAAAAATTTATTTAAAAAATTTCTTTAAAACTTTTAATATAATACATATTTATTTCGCAGTATAATAAACAAATAAAATAAATAAAAAAAAATAAACAAAATAGCAAAGGTATTTAAAGATTTCAAGTATTTTAAAAACATTTACCCGATCTATTAAACATAAATACTTGAAATCGTTAATTACCTCTACATTTATTTTTATACTTTCAATATATTTGTAAACTTTTCAGTAGTTTTATTAACAAGAAAATCATTCCGTTTTATTAAAAAATAAACTAAAGATTAAAGAAATATTCTTTACTATCATAAAAAATCTGACTGGATATGTTACTGACAACTTTTCTAAATAAAAAGTTGCTCTGTTTCAGACTACTTCTCTAAATAAAAAGTTGCTGTGTTTCAGACAACTTTTCTATAGAAAAAGTTGCTGTGTTTCAG